AAGAGTATACTCATTAAATTGAATGCATTGATCAAACACAAAGACACTGAATATCTCAAATTATCCAAGTGTTAAACAACATCACAAGATGCAAAATCAATGTTACCACTTGCCTTATTTGAAAAAGGACTTTGAATTTGTAAAACATTACATGATGAAACCACCATGATTTTTGCCCACTTTTAAAATCAGCAAGAACTGTTTATAGATAGAGTCACCAGAAAAAAGATTAAATGTGTTGCAAGTCATCAAAGTAGCCAAGGTAATTATCAGCATTACTTTGCAAGTAGGAAATACTAACCATGAGAAGGATCCCGAACCCTGTTCTAATTTAGACTTCACCTGAGAACGAACCTCTTATATACCTGACAAGAGATTTCACAGCCTGCTGAGAATCCTTCACTTTACAAGACCCACATTTCAACTTTCAAACTTTAACTTTATCTGTGAAATCAGAGGCTTGTCATAAAAGAGTCAAAATATTTGTAAGCTATAACAATAAACTACCTTTATCTGTACATAATCTTTGTGCATGAAAGAGGATATATGAGATTGGTAATGGAAATGTTGCACTATTTTCAGGATAAGTGTGAGATAAGTAAATAACTTTTGTTGTTTTAAACTCATAAAAGTTTGCTGCTTTAGTAAATTAACTGGAGATCCACACTCAGAGTAAGAAAACATAAACCTCTCACAGACAAACATACTTCACTAGTACTAAAGAGAACAGATAAGTTATGTCTGTGACAAAAGGAAACCTAGGAAGTCCACATTCCTGTCTTTCACTCTTACCTGGAGATCCTGCTGCAGGATCTGAGGAACTGAAGTGAGCAGGTGTTTGACAAAGATGGAAAAACCAAACCTGCCCAACCAAGCAGATAAGAATGGAAGCAGCCAAGGAAGTAAGCAGTGGAACTGTCGTCCTTCAAACCTGAAGACAATGCACTGAAAGAATTCAGGACGTTGAAGGATTTGAAAGGTGAATGGAGTAGCACTTTTAGCTGCCAAAGCTCCATACTCATTTGCTTTTTCCAGTAATCCCCTGTACAGTACTCGCCAAACCTAGTGCACCTCGCAGATACTCTCACTCCTCTTTTTCTAGGCATTTCCTTCTATCCTTATCTGGGCAGCTAACACTCATGTCATGCTCATTCATTCATGCCTCACAGTCACACTCCACAAATATTGTTCTTCCCTCCATCTACATAAGCTGTTATGCGGAGGAGAAGGGACCACACAACTTTGGAGATAGACAAAAACTGACACTAAGGGCACCCCTCCAGTAATGACCATCTTGGTAGCCAGTTTTCCACCTTGTCCATCAGGAAACTGGTTTTGTTCCAGGAAATTTGCAATGCCAGCAATAGTCTACAGTAAGGGTCTGAGTTTGTGCATTATAAAGATATTACACTTTGCTTTTAGATTCTGTGTTGAAGGTTCTGTTTCCTTGTAGCTGCCTCTGAGCGCCCATCCCCACTGCCCTGTGAAATAATGTGCGACTAATTATGTTGCTTCCATGTGAAAGGTGACAGCCGGTAATTGGCAATCCAAATGACTGAAGTCCAAGACAAGGGAACTGACTTCCAAGAAATTAAAAATCACCTGTCAAACGTTAGTAGCACACTTTCAGAAGTCCTGTTGATGCAATAGCCACTCTCCTAAGCATGTCTGCAGCTAGTAGGTTTTACCATTTGAAGGTTTCTAAATCTTTAATTTCACTTCTTAGCCCTTAGTTAGAAAACCTGTGAGTCGGTTAGTAATGGAAGTATGTTGAGTTAAATTCACAACAAAATGACTCTTTGAACATTGGAATTACTTACTGTACAGTTGCACAGATATTTATCCCTCACATCCAAACAGGTTAAACCCATATTTTCCTGGCCAAACATCACACTTTGGGCTTTAGCCCATGCAAACCTATCTATCTTTGACAGTTAAACTATCATACTATGACTTTACTTAAAAATAAATTTGTACAATATTTTGAAAGGATAGAATAAAACAAAAGGATAATGGAATTGGATCAGAGAAACCTAGCTGAACAGTGCACCCTGGCAGGACATGATGGAACAAATGGCCTCATTCTCTGTTGTAATTTCTATAAGAATCAAATATCTCATTTTAAGTCACCACACTCTGCAATAATTGCCCTGACACATTTTCCAACATTTAAAGCTTGTGTTCAACATCATCAACAAACCTGCCTTGAATGACTTCAACTCCGTGGAAAATGTAATCAACAACTACACAACTTGCCACCAAGTGTTAAAATTAATCGGGAATATGATGTGCCTATCAGATCTGTGTTATTCAACTGGCCTATGATAAGTGCCTCAGTAACAGTTCAATACTATAATGAGATGGTTGTAGGTTTGAATGAGAACTAGAATTTGGACACACTCCAGAAACATGTTAATTATTTTAGGAATATTATAATACCACACCACCACTAACAGGTGCAGAACATTTTTGCCTCATTCAAATAACTTAAATTTCTAATTATTGGAAGATTTTATTCTCTGAATTTCATTTTCTTCATTGAAATCTCTGGTGGAGGTAAGTAATTAAAAGGCATTTGAAATTCTCATTTTTCACCACGGCATTTAAAACATAAAGGAAGGTTACAAGGTATTTGTTTTTTGATGGATTGAAAACATCTAGTGCAAACTCGAAAAAGTTTTGTTTGCTTGTAAATTGAAATGATTACTTACAGTAATCAGTGACAACCTTCTATCTTTGCAAAACAGGAAACTAGGTAAGAGAGCAGCTATATCAGTGTTGATCTTTGTTTTAACTGATTTTTAATAAGTAAACCTATAACAAAGCAGCATAAATACTTTGCTATGACTTTAGTAAGTTGCGTGCCTTTATTTTTAAACTATTAACATTAATTGGGAAGAAACAATGTAACTTTATTTTGAATCTATGATTTTTTTTTAAATGCAGGCAGCAAAAATTGCAAACTAAAATCTTGCCCTTAAATTATGCTGTAATATACCGATACATGAGTATCTGAAACTCGCCAGCTGCTAATTTAGCACAGTCACTAACTCAGTTAAAATACATGGATTAAAAGAGCAGGGAGAGAAATATCACATAATCTCTGTAATTGGAAATTTTCATAGCAATGTAAATTAATGGTGTTTAACAGATACAAAAAGATGATTTTCAATAACAAAGATATTAACATTTTCCATATAAATAGAGAAAAAATAGAAAATTCTCACTCATTTTCTCCAAGTTAGATTCTCTTGCATTTACATTTGAAAACTGGAAAATTCAAATTGTTCAATTGCAAATAAGTTGGCATTGACCTGAATAGGCAGGCATGAGATCAATGTACCTCTTCAAAACTTAGTTAAAAGAAATAACATGGAAATTTTTGGTTCTTGCCCTTGAAAACACACAAGGCATTTTTTATGCACTGTTCACTTGGTTTAACTGCTTTAAACATAACATCTTATATGTAGTGACATAAGGACCATGTTCACAGCTTGGAACAAAAATTATCAGTATTTATAAAATATTATGAATCAAAGAATTTGTCAGAAGTGACAAGAAATTATTGAAAAGATCTAGAGTGTGAAATTAGACTTTGGTGATAATTCTCAATCACCTGTTTTGCATTATCAGTACATTTTATACCTCACCTGATTATCTTTTCTGTTGGAAGGCTATTTCATAGCTTTTTTTACATTTTGGCAATTCATAGAATCCCTATGGTGTGGAACAGGCCATTTGGCCCAATAGGTCCACACCAACTCTCTGAGGAGCATCTGATCTAGACTCACCCTCCTCCCTATCCCTGCAACTCCCATGGCTAATCCACCTAACCTACACATCCCTGGACACTATGGCTAAACTACCTAACCTGCACATCTTTGGACTGTGGGAGGAAACCAGTACAGACATTGGGAGAATATGCAAACTCCACACAGACAGTTGCCCAAGGCTGGAATTGAAGCCAGGTCCCTGGTGCTGTGCGGCAGCAATGCTAACCACTGAGCCACCGGGCCACCTGTACCAAGTCACCGTTTCACCCATATTATAAACCTACAATTAAAATCAGCACTAAATAAATAAATTAAAAACATTTATTTGATAAATTGGAATCTAATATGCAAAGTGTTGTGGATTAAATAATTACTGTTATTTGATTCTAACAAAACGCACCTTTTCTGGTGCTAATATTTTGCATGTTGGTGATTTACAGAAAAAAAATTGAAGATTGTGAAATTGAGAAACATTTTTATATTTAGATATGGTATCTAGATATATATCTAAGTAAGGCTTACAATAATCACATAACTCATTTCTGGTGGTGCCAATTTTATAATATTCAGGGTTGAGACTGAGCAGCATTTTAATGGTGACAGAGAAACAAAGGGCTGTTAGCATAAAATTTGTGAAATCAACTTCTAATTTGTAGTAAATGAAACAGTATTGCAATGCCCATACAGATTCTGTGAGGAAGTGTTGAATTAAATTGCTCCTGACATCATTAAAATCACAGCCGTTAAGAGTAATTTGATGTGAATAAACAGTAAAATATTTCACAGCTAGATAGCACATAAAAAGCCCTTGGAACTGGTTGAGTCAGTGAAGAAATGCTCCCTTTAATACCAAAGCCCATCTGTGAAAACCATGGACCATGTTAAGTGAATCAAATTTTCTGATGGACGATTATATTTCATTTCTCTTTCCTCTGAAGCAGAAAACTGCACTGCATTAAAAAATATATTTTATTCACAGATTAATAATCGATCTTCTTCCACTGGGGTGCATCATCTCAAGAATCAAATTGGTAGCAAAACCTATACCGTATTTCATTATTCCCAAGCTAAATAAGATCTTTCTCATACATAATATATTTTCTTGCAGTGAATTAACATTCTTGTTTCAAAACCTACTGACAGTTTTTAGATTCAGAAATGTATTATACAGGAGCTGATGACATACTCCTTTCTGACCCTTACACATTTGCTTTCTGTCATTTACAGAACATGCTGTCAGTGGAATCCTGATAAATGCTCTTGAAGATGTCACAGCAAAGCTCAGCCTTAATGCGAAACACATGCGGGTCAGTAACCCTCCATTCATCATCAAGAAGAGGGTCAAGCTACTGCTGGATCATTGATGGTCAAAAGCAATTAACCCTTTCATTTACTATTTCTGACAAGAGTATTCAGGAGTGTGTTTCTCCATTACCCTGAATTAATCACCAACACTGACGGTTTCATATTTTTATTGCTTTACAAGCTGTTAATGCCAGCATAAACTTTGACAGGTCAAAATCATATAGAAATATATAATAATTCATTTTCCATAGTTGTGAAGTTATGCCCTCTTCAAGGAACTGTAATATGTTCAATACTCTGACTTTTATCTTCCTTTTCTCATCTTATAGATTCACACTACTTCCATCAAAGTGTTGGAATCTAAAAGTGGACAGCATACAAAACAGGCAACAGATCCAAACTGGTCAATAACTGGTTTTTGGAGTTGGGTTAAAAATATCCTCAGAGAATCTCTACTTTCTTTGGGTGTCCTTATGGACTAGTCATCTATGTGGCACTGTATCAAAAGCTTTGCTGCAAGCTGATTAAACAACATCCACTGTGTTCCTCCATCCATAGAGCTTGTTATCTCCTCAAAGAACTCTAACAGATTTGTCAGGCATGATCTCCCACTCATAAAGCCATGCTGGTTCCCTCTTATAATGCTGTGTTTTTCTGGGTTCCTTCAAGACGCTATCAATTGCTTTCTTTGTCAGCCTTTTCTTAGTTATTTTTAATGGATTGTGTGATTACACCCAAGATATTTTTAGAATTAAGTTTTCTGTGGTCTACTGAAAGTCTCAGCTAGAGTCTCTTGTGTACACATTTCCTCATTGCATAGCTTTTCCACATAACTCTGGTGACAAATCCAAGGGTCAGTTTTGTTTCCCTTTGCTAGACTCTCTTTCCACAAAATTGACAATGATCAGTATTTTGCATGATTTCTGTACTAGAAAGGGATCAGACCTTGTTTTGAACAAGTTCATTGCCACTTTCTCAGACTTTTAAACTCAACCCTCCAGCTATGCAATTCAAGATCTTGTTTTGCCTTTTTTTAAGACTGCCACTTAACTTTTCTGATGGCTTTAGCTAGTTAGCTACGTTTATCTCCAAAATAATTATTCTGTGTTCTATATTGTAGATTACTCCCTTTTACCCTGTCAGGTAAGTTCAATGTTCCCATTTTTGGAAAAGATTTTTGAGCTGTAATGTATACCACTGATTCTCTGATCAATGCTCCCTTTCAGAGTGTGTCAGTGAATTTAGAGTCCTGGTCCCATTGCTTATTTTTCTTCCTCAGTCTGACCATCTATGTTATCCCACCAGATTAAATGACACGTGCCACTTGCCAAGATATCTGCATAATCCAATAAAATAAATTCCCTTTAGAGTTACTTACTCATAGTTTCTGAAATATTTTGATTTTCTATATTACATTACTGATGTTATATATGAAGTTCTTTAACCTTTTGCAGTTACCTGTTTTATTGGTTTTAGTTATAGTTTAAGCATTTCATTCCAGCAACGATTTTGGAAGGGCAGAGGAAACATGAAGAAATTGACAAACAGAACCAAAAAATGGAAAAATAGGACAAATTTTCAAAAGTTTGCAGTTTGCTCATTACTGGTGCACATTCAGTCAGTGCTGCAGTTTGATTCTGATCGATATTTTATTTTAAAACATCAATGAATCTCTTCCTTATTCATTGATCCATGGCCAAATGATACACAAGTTACAGCAACATTGCACAAAATTACCACTAATATTTCAATTACATAGTTACTCAATCAGCAGTAAAAAATTGGATTTGTCCATTAACTGGGAAAGTCTATTTGGTTAATAATATCAGAACTCTATGTTGAATCTGGAATTGAAATGTACAAAACAAGTTTGAAGGACAAATTCAATAACTCTGAAAGCTCAGATTTTAAATATTTTTCCTACCTGTTGAGAAAATTTCCATTTGAGTTCAGAGCGTGAGTAATTGACAAAGACTTAATTTATGCCCCCTCCTGCTTAACCATTGTAAACTTCACACTGCTATCACATGATTTTTAATTTAAAGAACATTGCTTTCACATAAATGAATGACCGCCAGAATAAAAGAGACAAAACTCTTGCCTGAAATGTTTCAAAAGTGGAGGCCTTAAGTATTGTTCAATAGCAGAATCAAAAAGTATACAGCAAAATTGATGTTTCAATGCATTGTGACACAAAGATTGTATAGGGTTTTTCAATATTTGCTGCACCTTCAGAAGATGTACTAGTTGAAGAATATTTACAATATTATTGGGAGATGAGACGTTAATTTTATTCATCTTCAAAAAGTCAATTATAAGAGCTTTTACATTACAGTAAGGATATGTATCAGATGTATTTTAATGTGTCAGCCAGTCTCCTCTGATGCTGGTCAAGGTAGTCTCCAGTCTGACTTTAATACTTAATTGATAAGGTTAAGTTGTATTTAAATTAATATGTCTTAAAGTGGCATTCTGAGATATTCTCAACGTAGATATTTTTAATCCACATATTCAAGTGCGTTATGATACACACCTCTAGAGCTGGTGGGGAGAGATATTCTCTATGTAGCCTAAATAGGTACATTCTCAGCACAATTACAGGGCAATTGCTGAAGACTGGCAACTCCTATTGTAGGAATAAAGTAGGATATCTGGTCATAAGAACTGGTAGGAAATGATTGGTTTTCTTTCTCATCAAATTATTCTTTGGATTGATAGAAGCAAGTTGTAAAAATTTTGATATTATTACTTGTTAACTATTGCAGAAAGACATGAGTGAAATTTTCCATGTCGTGTTTGGTTTGTAAGTACATTCTCTAAATTTGTAACTGGTTCACTGCAAAAGAAAATGTATATACTTCTTCTACCAAGTATTGTAATTTGGGTATCATGTGTTGTAATATTTTTGGCACAATAGCTTGAAAGTATGCATTCTTTCAAAAAAACAGATCAGAAGGCAACAGATTATCAACAACAAACTCCAGGGACTCTAAGACTGGGAAGTCATTGAGACTCTTAACCTTTCACACATAAAAACTGCTTTCACATGACACTCAATAAGGCTGCCTTTGGAAGCTACACAAAAAGTAAGTTAGTCAGGGATGAAGTACAAAGGAGTTATTTTACTTCATCTTTTTATATTGAGAGTCATAAGCAGGGTGTTATAACAGAAGTAATGATTTTTGAGCTTATTATAAGAATATAATAATATGTTTTAACATATTGTTAAAATATTTTAAAAAGGCCCAAAATAAAGTTAAAGACATTAGCATAACTTTGTATTTCAGATGATTCAGATAAATTGTTCCAGCTTCAGTCTTGTGGTTTATGGCATGATCGAAATGCCTCAATACTGTGTGTGCTTTGTAACTCATGCCTATGTATCCATGATTCTCTGTGTATCACATGGAGTTGAACTAGATCTTATTACCTATAATATCACTGCTTAGAAGTGAAAGGGCACTTAGTTCCCACACCAATATGGACATAAATTCTAGATTCCTTCATGGCTTCAAAACAGTAAAAGATATTTAATCCATACAGTAATAAAACTAAACATGATGGATTACATATCAGAAGAGGATTCTGATCAAAGGCTAATACAATATTACTGCAGTGTATATATTTTAACAACCCCTGTATTACTATCAATGAGGAAATGAAGTTCGTGCAAAAATACTCAAAAGTAAAAGACTTACTTTGAAAAGTAGATGCATTTCAGCATCTTGTGCAAACACTTCTGTTCAAAAAGACGGAAATGTTGGGATTTGTTGAAAATATTAAATGATTGAGTCTGAAAACTTTAAACAATTTAATGATCTAAAATAAACATAAATGGTCTTTGTCAAAATCTCTTCAATTGTACTGTTCTCCAGGTTCTACTAATCTTATTCCAAGAAAGCATAATTTGGAGGAGAAAAGAAGTGACTAACATATGCAAATGGAAGATTAAAAGTGAAGAATGAGGCCTACTGCAATTACACATTTTATGTACTATATTTGTCCCATGAGTCAGTGATGATATAACAACTCATCCTTCCTGTGTTCCGAAGCTCAGGGTCATAAAAACAAAGGTCCTCCTTCAGAAGCTACAAGGATGAAAGTAGATCAGAGACTTGCAGCCTGTCACCTTTGAGCAGACACCGGCTGATAACATCTACAGATGTGGAACTGCAAATTAATTCTTTATTTATTTATTCTCCAAATAAGTGCACTAACCTGTATTGACTTTGACACAGATGCCATGATAAATGGTGAATAAAATGTCAGAGGAAAATATGCTTCAAATGCCTGGATCTCAAATGCAAGACAACAACCAAAAAGCCTTCTTTCATTTTATGCTTTCTTACATTCTTATTTGTAAGAATTGAAAGAGCAGTTTGCTTGCAGAAGTGTTTCTTTAACCAATCCCCTGGTGATATTTGTGATTATGAGGAGTTCTTTTGAAATAAGATAACATTGCTACACAAGACTTATGGAATTACAAGAATCATTTTGGCATAACTGATAGAGACCAAGATAGTCTCCAAAATTTGAAATTTACATTTTTTTTTACTGTGTTGTATGACTCAATATTCCTACCACACCTGACTATGGCCTTGCTATGTAACTTGTATGCTAAATTCCTCATTTTGGTTACATATACCTCAACATGCAATTCCCAAAAAAATCTAAACCTGTGGCAGAACTAAACAAGGCACAACATGTGAAACAAACAGTAAAAAATAGTTAATAAAAACCGAAAGAGCCGCAGATGCTGTAAATCGGCAACAAAAACAGAAGTTGCTGGGGAAGTTCTGAGGAAGGGTCACTGGACCTGAAACATTAACTGATTTTTCTTCACAGGTGCTGCCAGACCTGCTGAGCTTTTCCAGCAACTTCTGTTTTTGTACTAAAAAATAGTTGTTAGGGCTGGAATATCGCAAAGCCTTTTTAATCAATTATGGGCTTTTTTCTCAAAGGAGTTGAAGTACAAAAGTGTGGTTATTAGGTACCATTGTTGCCTTGGCCAGAACACATCTGGAGAACTGCAGTCATTTCTGGCCATAATCTCAAAAAGGATATATCAGCCATAGAAAGGATGCAATACAAATTTCACTGAATTATAGTGGACATAAAGGGCTTAATTATGAGTACATGCTGCATAAACTTGGTTGCTGTCTCCCTTAGTGTGAAAAATTTGGGATGGAGGTGTGTTGTAATCTAATTGAGGTGTGAAATATGATTAAAGAATTTGATAGGGCAGATAAAACAATAATCTTTTATCCTTGTGGGGGAAACCAGAATAAGAGGGCATATACTTAATATCAGATCTTTGTTTGGTATGATTATCAGGGAATATAAAACAAAGATGAATAAGTGAGGAGAATGTGGCATATCAGCCATGGTCTAATTGAATGACAGATGTGATTGAGGGTCTGAATAGCCCACTCATAGTCCTATATTTTACAGTTTCGCATAATTTGTGGGCCTGGTTTTAACCCATTCAAAACCAGTAACCACACAGAGAGTTAAAATTGACCTGTGCAATGTATCTCTGTTGCAATGATACATTTATCGTATTCAGAAGTCATGACGTTCATGACAATGAAACTAATCATGAACAGTATTTGAGTATTTTTAACACAAGACAAAATTTCTCATTCTATTCCAAAAGCAATCTGTTTGATACTGCTATACCCTTAATCAATTTCTTGTGGAAGAGGAAAATAGGGTGTCAATTAATTGTGCGCTCAATGTGCACAGAAACCAGGAAGGTTCCTATTTCCCCGAAGGGGAAACTTGTTTATTCAATCTTTATATTTTTTACAATACTGTGAACTGCTGGATCTGTGAGTTATCAGTGCGCTGCAGAAAGCAGAGACAACATTGCATGATGCGACTGCACATTAAATAAAGAATAAAAAGCCACAGATGCAAGGAGTCATTTTGGCCACCCTTTGTGCCATTAGAATCTAATTTTCTGCCTATTAAAATGTCCCTTACTGTTCAGGCGGTAGCAGTAGCCAATGATTGGTGTGTAATTGACTATAATTGTCTTTTCACTTTTCATTTATATCATTCTGTGCTTCCTTCTGTTCTTCAATTTATAGCAAGATTTTCAAGAAAATCATACCTTTAACACTCCATATCCTAGCTTTGAAATGACTCACTTTTAATTATAGGATCCAGTCCCTTGTGACCAATATTAAAAATTAACTGGTGTACATATCAGATGACACCTGTGTCCAACTTATGCTAACAAATGGAGACAGTATATTTTAATAAAATAATAATGTCAACTTTCCACCAGCTGGTCATACATTTAAAAACTTTAAGGCTCTCCCAACGCTATCTGCAATTATTCTATTTGAGGATAATTTACTAATCCTCTGGTAGCAATGTGAATCTTCTGCAGAGCAATAACGTTGTGATATTAATATATTAAAATTGCTTAACAAAGCATTGAAAGATAAAGCATACATTTTAATCAAAGGGCAAGTTGATGCTGACAGTTCTTATTTATGCGTATAATATCATTTCCTGAACCATTTTCAGCAAATAAAGTGGCTAATAATCATGTGGATTCACTTCAATCACACATTGAAAGAGCTTGTTACAGTAACACATCACTTTGTTGTGAGGTACTCCTCTTTTTAACAATTCCCTTTTGAAATTCTTTGTTCAGTTTGTAGATTTACAATATATAAAGTAACATAACTGAATCACATTTTAAACACAATATGCTGCGTATCATTACTATCAGTAAAGTCTGGACTAAAATGAAGACAATATAATAAAATATACCCATTAGGCATAATAGCAGAGAAAAAAATTAAAACATGCATTAAACAAACTAAAAGAAAAACATAAATTAGTGAATTGAAAGATAATGAACATTTATAAATTGGGTTGTTACAATAACTTCAAAATTCTCATTGAATTTCACATTGGAAATGGTTTCTGCTTCATTTCAAATGTTTCTTTGTAAAAGTCGTCAATAATTTTTGCATCATTTTTTCTATAAATTTTCACTTTGTGACCTTATTTTATTTTCCAACACTCCTAAAGATGATAGATGCAGCAAAGGCTTGTCTTATATAGCACTGAGAAAATTAAGTGTCTTAAAGATTGGTTTGAACAATGAATAGCTACAAACTAGCAGTCACATGAGATGCACAGACAGATTTGCGCAATGATTTAAATTCAGAAATGCTTCTTTAGTTTTGCCTTGGGTAGTAAACTATTTGGTTCATAGATATAGTAGACACCCTGTTTTGAATCACAAAACTGACCTGAGGTGAGAGGCCGTTGCTAACCGTTGGATTCATGGGATTGGTAGACCCTGCAGGAGACACAAAGCTGTCTGTGTACCCTGAAAATCCATGCCTGCTGGTGGATAAGCAATAAGCAGAACTGCTGTCTGGAGTCGAAGGGAGGCTGCTTTGGTGAACTGATGTTGGAGGCAGAGGCTGTGGCCTGTGAACTGTGTTGCTTGGATCTGAGATTGCTGAAAGCACAATAACATTTATTGTATCATTAGTGCTGCATCTTTTCATTTCTTAAGAAATGACTAGACTAGGTCGAAAGGTGATATCTCATGTCACTGTCAACAGTTAAATTATTCATGATAATTTTTCACATTCACCAATGCTTTTATTTCATACTTCAAAATAATATTGTTTAACATTGAAGTGGCTTCTGAGAAAAAGGGACTCGTTTATAAATGCAGGCTGAAGTTATGTAAATTACATCAAAATGTACCATTATGTCTCTAGCATGTGTTGTTATGATGAACAAAATGATTCAGAGGCAAATTATCTTAGGTTATAATGTTGATACAGAGCATCACTAGACAAGAACACAGGTCAGAGAATCAGATACATATTAAAGTACCTGATTAGGAGCCTTCCAATTTTCTAATAACTGAAGTTAACATGCGAAGAAATGGAAGTGCTATAAATTGGACACGCTGGCCTGGATTTTCTCGGAACAGGTTATGTTGTGATTTTGGGACCACACGTAAGTGGGCAGCAACTTCCAGTGCCACTAAGAGAGATCACTGCAGTCAAGAACATTTTCAAGAGTCCTGACAGGAGGAGGCTCTTTCATTCTTTCTCTGTCAGGGCTGGGCAAACAGATCTCAATGACGACAGGTTCATCCTACCAAGCTCAATGGGTCACCAAGGTGGCCTTTGCTGTTGACAGGCTCCTCCTAGGGCATGGAACCACTGGCTCTCATTTTCACCACCCCCTTCTCCTCAGATCCCACAAGGAGCCTGCCTCCATGCAACTAAACCACATGTGGCCCCATTCACCTCTGGAAAATTTCAGGTGGCCCCATTCACTAGTTAGCTCCAGTAAGTGGTGAGCTGCTATGCCTCTCATTCCACCATTGTAAAATGGCCTAGCAGTGGAAGTGTGTGGGGAGCCATTACACCATGGCCCCTTGATATTTTAACAAACCCCCTGTCTAATCGTCTACCACCTGAGGACACATTTTTTTCCATTCCCAAATCTTCAATCCATCTTTCGTCAAGCAACTGTCTATATTGTAAGCCTTGTCTTGCAAAAATATATCCTGTGTATTTTTTATGCTTTTTCTTCCTTTTTTGAGCAAACTATTTGCAGAATGCTTTTTCAGAAGTTCATGGCCTTTAAAAAGATCATTTCATTCTACTTGTTGTTACAATAGCAATTGCATATCATGTCAACACGAATTAAAGTTATGTAAAAAGTAGCCTCAGTGTGACTGACATGAGGATAGCTGGATAGTCTTGTGTTATATACAGCACTGCTGGATGGAATACACCACACTGTATAAATGGCATGGTATTGTGCACAATAAACATGTAGTTAGATGTTGTATTAACACACAACTAAATATGTAGACAGTGACAGAATAATATTGGACTTCAACTTTATTGACAAATATGCACATTTGTTAGTCATCCCCAGGTTATTTGTATTTGCATAAAGAGTGGAGGTGTAGAAAAGTTTC